CCCCCCCCCGTCATCTCTGTGACATATTAAAAATTTATTATTATGTGAAAAGTGGCGCTGCACAAGGGTTTAAATATAATTTTGTGTAGGGAAGTTGTTTTGTAAAGTGAAAAAACAGTATTTAGATAATAATAATAATAATAAAAGCTACAATCCTACTTACGTAGCTTAATAGTGCACAGGTCACATATTCAAAATATATTTAAAGTAGCTAAAGTAAATGTTTTCATTAGGTGGAATGACCGCTTTCTGGGCCATATACGTAATATTTACTGAATATTGAATTACTGACATGTAAATCTTCATATTGCTGCTGTTGATGACTGATTTTAATCACTTATATTGTTGTTGATCTGTTATAATACATTTTAACAACGAAACAACAAGTAATTAAAGCTTTCAAAATAAAAGCAGAATAACGTGGAAATCAAACCTCGTTAAAGTACTCGTTAAAGAGCTAATATGCTCCATTCTAATGGTGTTGGAGATCACAAGATTAACAGTACTCTGATCTAGTGCTTTGGTGGGAAGGATACACCAAGTAATCCAGGGGGGCTGGTGCCACCCCATGGTGGGGTTCTGGACACATCCTTGAACATAGACATACTTTTTTAAGTTTTTTAAAAGTTTTTTTTATAGTTTTTTTTTTTTTTTACTTTGATGAGAAATACAATTTTAAACAATTAACTCTGCTATTTTCCCTTTCATCTAATTTTTTGTGAAAGCCACAGGAAACCAAAGGCAGATGGGAAAAAGAGCTGTATGTAGCCGTGGAGCCACACGTTTGAGACGCCTGAGCTCGATGGAAAATAGATTTTAATTTAAATCGTTTGTTATTAAAGGATCATAAAACACATAAAGTTTATTCAACTTTAATATTAGATCAGTATTTCTCTTAAAGACTACAGTGCACTGCTTTTATGACTACCGTACAAGCCATTTGTACTCGGTCAAATATAGCAGCACCGAATAACCACTAAACTAAACTGACTAAAGTCTGTTTTTAGAGCTTTTCAACAACTATTCATTAGATTTTACAGAGTGGCATAAAATAACATGCCTTTGTTGTCTTTACCCTCTGATAGATTATCTACATGGGCTGGGTTGACGAGAAGGAGCAGGACTCCGTTCAGGACCGAATGTATTCACCAAAGTTCCTCGCTTTGAGGGGTTCCTCCCTCTTCAAGTTTTCAGCACCTCCTGTAAGTTTTCCTGCCAGCGTCTGCATTTGAATGGATGTCATTCAGCTCCATCGGGAGATTTTCATTTGATGCTAATGTATTGTTTAGGGAGAAAATGCTTAGGCAAAAAGGAAGCAGCTCACTCATAATCATTTGTGCTGCATTGATCTTTCACTTGATTGATGGCGATCATTAAATCTGTTTACATTCTGCCAGCCACTTAGGTGATTATGACAAGAGGGATAAGCTGTCGATGGTCCGGGAGATGAGAAAAGATTGATAGATAACTGAAATTGCCTTCTCAATGTGAATGTGCTGATATAAATGGAAAATGCTAATGTGAATAGATGGTGGGATGTAGGAGCCTGCCTATTCAGCAGTGACGACCAGATTCTTTATTGTTGAAGTTACCTGTGACAAATATTTCCATTCACGTGGCAAGGAGACAGCTGAGTCCGACAACCATTCATCAATAACTGTGGACACAAATGGCTATTGTACAGTCATGTTTTAGAAATCTGTGGATGGGCACGGCAAGCCTTGAGGGCTTTGGATTTCAAACATTTCTATGAAAGTATAAAGAGTATAGGTTGGTGGCTTCTTTTCTGTAGACTTTTCAAAACCAAAAATGTAAACGTTAAAGTGTAAAAGATTAATAAATGAGTTTATCTGTTGTGTTATTACTTACAGTGTAACCTCGGATTTGAACATTAACCAACTGTTTTATATCAGTGGGTAAAAGATTACAGTAAAAACAATTCTTGCTCAGTACAACAGACTATATAAACTTTTTAGAGCCAGCATGATATTACCTATTAGTATCACTGTAGGAATCTATAGGGTAGGTAGGAGCCAGGTGCTGCTAAACAATGAACTGATCATCAGCAATGCCAGTCTTCCCAGGAGTGGATGTCCCTGCAAATTTACTACATGATAAGACCATGCAATGCTCAGAGAAACTGCAAAAAAAAAAAATGTTCATGACAGTATAAATAGAGAAAGACTCAGTAAGTATGAAAGGAGAGAGCCTCTGTTCTCTAAAAGAACATGGCAGCTTTAGGTTTGCAAAGTTGCATTTGAACAAACTCCAAGACTTCTGGGACAATGTCCAAAGTGGAGACGTTACCCACAATGTGCAACATCACAGCATATCAGCACAAACACCTCATACTGACTGTCAAGCATGGTGGTCGAGGGGTGATGATTTGGGTACCCTGCAGTCACTGAGTCATCCTGAATGTCAGTCTGACTCTGGAAGCTAAAGTTTGTCCTGTTACACTGGAAAATGTAACAGGACAAGGATCCCGATCACATCAGCAAATCTAATACAGGATGGCTGAAAAATGGCCAAGTCAATATCCATGTGTCTTTCTGTTGTAAACTTTCTATGGGGATTGGCCCCTCTTTTGGAGATAGCCTCAAGTGGTCATTAGAGGAACTGCAGTTTTTGGAGTTTATAGTAAATATAGCGGCTCTTTATTTGATTTTATATTTCAAGAATGAAACACAAACTTATCTTTATGTTGTCCTGACATTGTTTTTTTTTTTGTTGCAAATAATTGCAATATTATTTAAAAGTATTTCTACCAAAACAAATACATTCCTCAAATAAAATTTGAAAATTGGATGTGACATTTTCAGGTGACAACATGGGACTGGACGAGAGCAGAGAAAAGCTTTACTGTGTACGAGATAATGTGCAAGATTTTAAAGGTACGTCGGTCCTTCTTTTAATCTGCTTCCCTGAACATTTACAGAAGCATCTCTCAGATCGGATACACTGAGAATACTAAGTAGCAAACTGAATTTGAGGAATGCCCTTATATAACTCACTTATTAATTTGCATGTGTTCTTTTCCAGTCCCACAGAGACACTCAAGGTTCACATTTCATTGTTCATTCTCTCCAGGTTCGAGGTCACTTTGAATTTCATAGTGGGAATTTATCTTGAGTTCATTATCTAGAAACTCATTATGGCAAACCTAATTCATATAGATTCACATATTCAATCAGATATACAGTAGGCTGACCTTAGACTGCCTGTACAATTTAGGTTATGTAAAGCTATGCAAAGACCCATTAGAGGAAAACATTGTCTGCTAAAATGCTTTAGTAATTCGCTTCAGGAGACTGCCTTGCTGTACTTATTTTAGGACAGTGACCTTCTGGACAAGAGGAAGCACTGCTTCAGTGTTCAGACAGAGAGCGGGGAGGACATGTTCTTCAGCGTGGAGCTGGAGTGTGAGCTGCTGATCTGGGAGAAAGCTTTCCAGATGGCCACTTTCCTGGAGGTGGAGAGGATACAGGTCTGCGCCTGAACGGCAGGAAATGTGCCGGGAATTGTGACAGTTTAAATCTTGCATGCGGTTTCTTCTCAGTTGTTTTAGTGCAGAGATTGATAACGCCCACATGACTTTTAGCAGAAGAGCAAAGATGCTCTTGTGTCCTTATGTAACTCCTGTGGTTGACATCTTCTTTTCTTGTTCTGCAGTGTAAAACGTACGCCTGTATTATGGAAAGCCACCTTATGGGACTCACTATTGACTTCGGCATGGGCTTTGTGTGCTTTGATGCTGCGTCAAAAGTGAGTGAAGGACAGTGTTTTGTCATCAATACAAAAACGGGACACTTACAATAGGAGATTCATTATTTTACCCAGTTTGATGAACCTAATCACGGCACCCCAGCTTCCCCTTTTCCTTTTTATGGTGCTGCTAACTTATTCTGCACTGTGTGCATTTTGAGTTTGAGCACATTCGTTTTGACAGCTGGTTCCCCCAAGCTCAAACGTCTCACTCCTGCCTGCAGTTCATTTTGGCCTTTCACCAGGTCTTAGAGCAGACTACTCAACTGGTGCACATTATGTGGATGAGCAGGACACAAGCACTGACATATTGTTCTGTAAGATTTTGGCCCTAATTCCTGCAATATGAAGCTCCAGTGTCCCCCAGGGATGATAAAAAATGTTGCCAGAATATTGTTTACAGGCAGAAATGCACAAATTACAATCCAAATGTAAACTGCAAGTGCAGACAAATACATGGAGCAGAATTACTCCATGATTGAAAGCTGGAAAAGGCAGGATTTAAAAACCGGGTAATGTGAATTTCAGTGAGGAAGAAAAAAGGCAGGAATATAACTGAGGTGTTTATTCATCAGAATTTGCCTTTCCATAAAAAATCTTAATGAAACATACAATTAAAAGGTGAAAGCTATCAGTATGATATCAGTACAGTAGATAAGATAAGATATGGAGACAATATGGCAAACACAGGAACATGTATAATGTAAATGTGGCTAGAACTTGTGTGTAAGACAGTCTCTTTTCAGCCTACAGTGCACTATTACACTCATGCAACACAAATATTCACATCCTCCACTTTTGCAGGCTGAGTGAAAAAAACACATGAGAAAAAAACATCATTTTTTTCTTGATGGTTGTTTTTTTTTTGGAGATTTTAAATCAAAGGGCCACTCGTGTATCATAAAAAAGAAGTACGCCCTGGAAGAAACAGTTGTAACAGTGATTTATATAGGAAACAAAGAAATCATGGCTCCCGCTGACACTCTTTCTCTTGTTAAACTGATGACTGATGCAGTCACTCTGGTGCTTATTTTTGGAGAAAAAAAAACTGAGGCACTTATAGTGCTGTTTAACCTATACAAAACAATAGAAAATACTCAGAGCAAATACCAAGCACTAGGTCACTATGTTAGATAACTTTGGTTACTGGAGACAAAGTATGCAATCAATGAGAAACGTTGAAAACATCACATCTTTAAAATCTTCTTGCTGTTTATTTTGTTCTGTTTCTCCGGCCACTTAATTAGATTCAGCTGTTTGGTAGCTAAAATATCTAATCAGCCCATAACAGGATCTGCAGAAGTTCAAACTGAGTATCAGAATAGGAAAGGAAGGTGATTTCAGTGACTTTGAGCATTGGCTGCTCTGAGTATTTCAAAAACCTGGATTTTCCCACAGAACTGTCTCTAGAGATTATAGTACAAGGTCCAAAAAAGAGGAAAATATCCAGTGAGCGGCAGTTCTTTGGGGTAAAGAGCATCAAAGGATGCAGCAGATGCAGCAGGAACAGTAGCTCAAATAACTACGCGTTACAACCAGTGTGCAGAAGAGCACGCCAGGTGTCACTCCTGTCAGCTAAGAACATGAAACTGAGGCTACAGTTCACACTGGCTCACCAAAACTGGACAAGAGAAGGCTGGAAACACGTTGCCTGGTTTGAAGAGTCTCGACTTCTGCTCTGACATTCAGATGGTAATGCCAGAATTTGACGTAAACAATATGAATAGATCCATGCTTCCTTGTATCAGTCGTTCAGGCTGGTGGTAGTGGTGTTGATGGTCTGGGGGGTATTTTCTCAGCACATTTTGGATTCCTTAATATCAACTGATCATTTACTCACCAAACCCTTCCTGGGTAATGTTGCTAAACCTTTCAATCCCTTTATAACCACAGTCTATTCATCTTCTGATCGATTCAGCAGGATAACACACCATGAGCTCAAACAAGCTCAAACTGGTTTCTTGAACATGACAGTGAGTTCTCTGTACTCAAATGGCCACAACACAGTCACTAGATCGCAATCCAATAGAGCACATTTGGATGGCGGTGGAACGGCAGATTCACATCATGGATGCGCAGCCGACAACTCTGCCGAACTGTGTGATGATGTCATGTGAATACAGACCAAATCTCTGAGGAATTAGTGCAATACTGAAAGGAACTAGGAGGGTATACACTCGCCTAATAAAGTGGGCGGTGAGTTATTTTGCAGTTAATTAGATCATTTGTCCCTGAAATGAACAGCAAGACTGAAATGATAGGTTTTCATATAGTCTGTATATGACCTACTCACCGCAAGCAGCTTTTCCTTATCAAGCATTACACTTGCCCTGTGAATGAAAAATAATATCTGATTTCAATAAACTGAATATTTAAAACAAATAAGCAATATAAATGATTGTTACAAACATTCTCATTATACAGGTCATTAAGCACTCGTACTGCTATATTTTGGATTGTAATACTGACACAGTACTGTGCAAGCCTTGGTTCAATGCTTCATGCAGTCAAAATGGAGATGCTTTGATTTAGTTCAGGATTTGTGGTAATTTAATCATATCAGAGTATCAATATTTACTTGTTTCTTTTCATCTGTAAATGAACTGCAAATTAATGTGTTGATTTTGTGGTACAAAATAGAGGAAAAGTAAAAAAGCAGGAATAAAAATGAACATTGCACTGGTCGGGTGTGGCTTTAGGAGGAAGCTGATTTTGTTCTTTATCTTTCATGCAAGAAAGATACAGAATATGAAATGCAGTGATTGACATGAAGGAGATGGTGATATCGGCACCTCTGACAAGGTTAGTGGGAGCCAGATTGAATTTTAAAGGCAAAGCAGAGGAGAGGTGACACTTCTGTGGCTGCACACCGAAAATGCTTCGTGAATATCTGCTTTAAGTTAAATGAAAAATGTTCATCTGTATTGCAGGGCTAAAAGATTTAATCAGACTGATGTTGCAGTTTTAATTAGGCTGGTGGGAGTTGTTTCAACAGTATAGGAATGTGCAAATAACTTGGCTAGCTGTCTACAAGAGGAGCCATGAAACTGAGTCAATGCACAGCTTTTTGTTTATTCGGTTCGGCATTAATTGAATCACCGAAGCTCTGCTATGCAGGTGAAATTACTGTGGCTGGTTAAATTTCCCCAGTGGTAAAAATAACACTCCAGTTTCTGGTTGATCTGCTGACGTGCCCCATTTCTCACCGGATCCGCGTGGATTTTAACGTGACTTATTCATGAAAAAAGTGACACCAGAAATGATTCACAAATCTGAGCGTGGAAAATAAAGACATATTGTTTTTGCTTTAGTTATGTTGTTGCGTTTGCGTTTCAGGCAGTGCTGTGGAGATACAAGTTCTCCCAACTAAAAGGGTCGTCTGACGACGGGAAAAGCAAGATCAAGTTTTTATTCCAAAATCAAGACTCCAAATCTATCGAAGCAAAGGTAATTAAATTTGACGGATGTTTAATGTTGCATGCCAGAAAATAAGTCAACAAGATTTTCAAAGCAGCACGGCTCTATAAAAATTAATCGCTCGTGTGTGATTTGAGGATTGATTTTCTGTCTCTCTCAGGAGCTGGAGTTCTCAAACCTCTTCGCAGTGCTTCACTGTATTCACGCTTTTTTCGCTGCCAAAGTCGCTTGCCTGGACCCGATGTTTGTGGAGAGCCAAGGCACCGCGACCACCACTGGGATCGCTTCTCTTTCCAGTCTCTCCTGTAATTCACAGACACCTAAGCTGAAATACGCCACTTGACAGGTGCTGCTTTCACTGACCCCTTTTAAAAAGGACGCTGCACTTAATCATGAATGTGGCCTGTGTCGATGGTGGACAGGAGACCTGGAACACGTACAAACTCGGACATTATGGGGGGCAGCTGTGCGCACTGCTGGAATAAAAGACCTCTTTGTGAGAGATTACTTGACGTATCTGCAGATTTCTCAGATTTCTGGAACAACTGTGGGCTGAGACTTCACAGAAAGACTCAATGGACACATAAGGTGTGACTCAAAAGTTTTTTTTTAATGTGATTTTGTCTCAGACATCCTTATAATCAATTACAAAAGAAAATGCAGTTCTTTTCCCAAGCCAGTCTGCTTTTCTATGTAATTTTATTGACCACTTGCAGTTTAAGCAACATAGATTCTAGCCTTTTCCCCACTTCAGATGGAACATCACTTGAATTTCTACAAGGTAAAGCGTGGACACTGGATATGATGGTATGGTGTGTAATTTGTGATACTTGATACCTTACGTTTTCTTTTTTTGGTGTGTTTTTGAGGTGGAAACTTTTATCCATAATTCAATTTGCTGAAAGAAAAAACATTTTTCAGATTAGAGTCTAACTAAAAGCTAAATGGCAACATCAGTCTGGTCTTATAACACAAAATCAGTTTAATTTTGACTAAATTTAATTACACAGACGTTCGCTGGCAGCGTTGCTGGATGAAATGGATTTCTTTATATTAATTTCCTCTTTTCTTTATATACCTGTGTGAGGTAAGAATATGTCTATGTCTTGGATTACTGACTATGAAGGCACTTTGATGATCAGCTTCACCATCAGCTCAGCCATAAAGGGACGAAAACACTCGAAACATGATTAGAAACACCTTCCACGATGTTTATAGCACTTTTGATTTTTTACCCCCAAACCTGATTATGTAAATAAACACTGACATTCAAATGAACTCAAAGAATTATGAATTATGGTGATTACTTGAGGGATTACTTGTAGGGATTAAGGCATTTGTTAATTTGATGTGCACCCTAGACAACTAGGTAGATAGCTCATAACCTTGTGCTCTCTTCATCATTTACTCTATGGACCAATTTAGAGGAATAAAATCAGCTATGGTGTATTTTTGAAAATATTTTACCTTTGTTTTTTTGACCTGTAAATAAAACAAAGTGGAACTTTACATTCACAAATGAGAAAAAAGTAGGAGGAAAATAGAAATATGTAGCACCGTTGCCTCCAGATGTTCCAGACACCCCTTTAAACTCTGCACAAACTGTTTGTAATGCTGCAGAGCGACAGCTAAACTATCATAGTCAAAAAGAGTTCAGGTCAATTAGCGCAATTAGTGATGCTCTTACCTTCCATTTACAAAGAGGAATCCAAACACAAGGGGCCCGTTGGTAAGTAAACTCTAGAGGATTGCGAATTAAACGGGGTCAGTGCTTTGTACTGTGCGGCCTTGTTAAGCTGATACGAGTGTTTGATGGGAACTAATGGTGGTGCAGTCTATGCAAAGAAAGTCTGAGCTTTTGTGCTTTAAAATTATCCTGGTCGCATATACCCTTATAACACGAGATCTACAGAGTGAGGTTGATTTTATTTTTTGCAGATGTTTTATTAACAAATATCCTGTGTAATAAATGAATAAATGAGACCTTTTATATCATGGCTCACTTGTGGTCGGCTTTACTTTTTTACAGTTTCTGGCTACGCCGCTGATTTTACGAAGAGAACTCACTTTACTTTTCTTGAGAAGTCCTCAAAGTTGTATTTTAAAATTCTAGTACATATCCGCAGCATACAGCAATTTTGTCAACTCTCCTTTTTTTTGTCAGCGATAGAGATGTCATTATACTCATCTTTGCTGAGGTTCATAAAAAACTTTTAACACTGAATAAAAGATGCCATTGAGTACTCAAAGTCAAGATTTCTCTGCCGCTGCTCCATTTTCACATATTCTTCTTTGTGTCTGCCTTTTGTCTGTCCCCACAGTGCGCCGCTGAGCTCCCTTTAAAGTCAGAGAAGTCTTTTTTCATATTTGTGCAAATTAAAAAATCAGTTTTAAACAAATGGTATATACTTGACTTTTTTTTCAGTAGTTTTAGTTTATTTTAAACTTTTGTTCTCAGTTCAGTTCAGCTCACATTTACTTTAGTTTTTATTCTTTCACATTGCTCCATTGTTAGCTTTAGCTTTTCATTATTATAATGCAGATGGTGTATGTCAGACCCAAAGTTTGAGACGTTTACATCAGGTATTATGGGACAAACACACACAACTGAGGGCACTTTGTACATATTTATACTTTAGTCTTGGGAATACACTTCTCGTTTTTCTCTTTAAACTCCAGTTTCCTTTATTTTGGTTAACCAAAACAGTTTTCCACACTGTTTTTGGCCTAGTGTTACTTAAGTATAAAAATCCTTGGGTAAAGCAGATTCATAAAGTGTACATTTTCTTAACAAGCAGCACTGTGATGCTGCATAATTAAACTGGGCAGCCAAATCCACATTACTTTCTACTATTAATGTCAACTATAATGTGCTAAACACATTATATTAACACATATTTTATATATAGACATTATTATATTATTAGAGCTGTCTTAGAGGGAGGATACACCCTGGATAGGCCGCCAATCTGCTGCAGGGCTAACACATAGAGACAGACAACGATTTGCACCTATGGGCAATTTAGAGTTGCCAATTAACCTATCCCAACTAACTGCATATCTTTGGAATGTGGGAGAAAGCCAGAGTACCCAGAGATAACCCACACAAACACAGGGAGAACATGCAAACTCTACACAGATGGCGGACCTTCTTGCTGGGAGGCAACAGTGCTAACCACTGTGCCACCGTGCTGCCCCTCTGGAGCATTTAGTTGTGTTTTAATACAACACCACAATCCCAGCAAATTCACTCCAAGGTCAGATTGTACAATGCTCAGTGAAGCTGCAAAAATCACCCAAGAGCTCTAGTACATCATAGACTATATAGGCCTCAGTCACATACGATAGAAAAACACTAAACAAGGATAGCTTGTTTAGGAGGGTCTCTGAGAAAAGCTTCTTCTCTATAAAAAGAACATGGCAGCAAAGCTGAGTTTCCAGTGTTACATCTGAACTAACTGCATGACTTTCCTGATCAATTTCTTTTGAACAGGTGAGACTAAAGCAGAGATGTTTGGCCATAATGCACAGCGCCATGCTTAGTAGAAACCGAACACGACACGTTAGCACAAATTTTATACCGCATGTCAAGCACTTTGGTGAAGGGGTAATTATTTGTGTTTGTTTTGCATCCACAGGATCTGGACACCTTGCAGTCATTCAGTTGACCACGAACTGCTCTGCAAGTATTCTGGAGTCATATGTGACAGTGAAATCTAACTGGAAACTGGAGGTTTATAGGTCATTATAAACTGGTCATAGGTGTGTGAGTGCGAATGGTTGTCTCTCTGTGTTAGCCCTGCGACAGAGTGTTCCCTGCCCTGTGGTAGCTGGGATAGGCTCCAGACCCTGATAAGGATAAGGTGAAGAGAATGGATGGATGGATCTTTTTCATGTCACTTTTTTTTTTTTTTTAAATTGCAGAGTTTACAGTTTCATAAATTTCACATTCATAAATTTGCTGCCAATAAATTTACCGAACTTTGCAAAGTCCATTAAACCCAACATTAGCCGACTTAGCTTAAATATACCATGGTCCAGTGGGTCATCAGATATTATTCACTCCACAACTACAATGTGACACAAGAGCAGCGGCAAGAAATCTAACGAGAGAAAAAGAAAATTGTAAGGACTCCTTTAACTAACAGACAACATTTAGACATCATTGGTAAATAAATAAGATTGGAAAAGCAGAGTAATTAGAATGATTAGAAGACACATAATGTGATCGTGACCTTTATTTTTGTGCCAAACGTTACGGAGAAACACCACATTTTCAAAATGAACTGCACACACTATGAGTAATCAACCTATGCCTGAAGAAAAAAAAAAAGCTAACAAAAAAACAGGAATAGAACTATTTTGGCTCTGAACAAATGATCTTAATATAAGAGCACATAATTGGTTATGACTTGGTATTTACCGGCTGCCATTTTTGTAGTCGAATCTCATCCACATTAAATGTAATCACAGCAGTCCCATTAACTTTGGTGCAAGGCGCGACCTGAGAGTCGAGGTTGTAGGTCCCCTGCTTTCAATACTTAATGTGCTCGCTAATTAGCAATTACATTTTCGATAATGGTATATAAACTGTTGCATGGCTGTAATTGGTCATGTGAATTTTAATGGATACCAGGCAAATAAAATGGGACTATGTTGTTATTGGTAATTATAAGCTGAGAAATTATTCCATTATTGCTTACTTGCACAGCTCTGCAATGAATTAATCTATTTAAAAAAAAAAAAAAAAAAAAGCCTTACAGAAAATAAATGTTACCTCTTCACACACAAAAACTACTAAATAGAATAACCAGCCCCGTTTTCAAACAAAATATTCGTCATTACACCAGAACAAAATGAAGACCTATAGCACTAATATATCTTATCTATTTAACAGACAGCAGTGGAGATTTGATCTACAGAGTTCCCAGTGTCAAGATACAGTACAGCAAGAGGGCGCTACAACAAATCAACTGCAACTTAATTCAACTGTATGCAGAATCATATGATAACAATACATATATAGATATATCACTTTAATATTGAATAGAATTAATATCAACAACATTCAACTCAGCTTTTGGAATACTAAATTTATGCATTCAAAGTAAGATGAAGGAACTTTCCAAATGCTGTGATGGTAAAGCGTGAAGAAAAACGGTGACCTGTCGGATCAGTGATGTGCCGTTTTGTTTTTAGGGTTTTTTTTCCCCCCCTTTTTTTTTCTTTTTTTTTTTTTTTTTTTTTTTTTTTTTTTTTTTGTTTTTTGTTTTTTTCACTGTGGAATGTTTTTGTAGAAATATATCATCCTTTATGGGGGAAATTTACTGTGCTGGAAAACTCACAGAAGTCCTAATGTGATGGGGCGAGGGATGTTGGCACTTAAAAGTCATCACTATCAGGAAGGTTCTGCAAGCAAATTGTACTTAAAGAGGATTTACATTACATTAAGTCCAGTCCACAATACAAATGAAGCCCAAAAAAAGTCATCTTTTTATTTATTTATTTTTTCCTTTTTTCTCTGTCTTGAGGACTGCAGATTAAGGTGCTTTGTTGTCCGTGATACAAAAGGCGTCAGATTTTGCATTGTCGTTGATTTTGTTTAAAAAAAGAAAAAAAAGAAAAAGAAAAAAGTACTATACAGAATTCGAGATTTGTGTCAAGGCCATCAATCTGGTTCACCATCTTGAAACCTTTTTTGTTGTCATTTGTTAAGAAACATTTCAAAGTTTGATCACTTGGGACATCACCTCCAGTGACCAATCACAAGGAGCAAAGTCAGGAACACCCATATACAATATATTCATGCATGTATTCATTATGGATGAACATCATGCCTTCACCAGTTCCCCTCGAAATTAGGTGAATATTTAAATCACCATCGTATCCATGTCACCCTTATTTTAAACCTCTGATGTGGTTTATTCAAATACTAAGAATTACATCATTATATTATATTATATGAATCCAGAACAGGGCAAAATAAAAAGAGAGAAGGAGGCCCGCGACAGCCTATCAGATCAGGTAGTAGTGAGGAAACAAGAATGTCAGCACCCTGTAGAAAAAGTTTCATTAAAAGGTGCCCTGTAGAAAAAATTATGAACCAGTCTGGTCTTTCAGTGAACTCTTGTAATAGGAAGTTATAAAACACATTACCCTGAAATGAAATACCAAGAAGAGTAATGACATACGTGCCCCATTCGGGCTTATCGAACATCTTACTCTTTAACTCTCTTTAACAAAAAAAGAAAAAGAAAAAATGGGAGAAAGTGGCTTTATTTGCCTTTCAGTGTCTCCTCTCAGTATCATTAAATCATCAGACACTGAAAGTAAGTTAAAGCTTCTAAAAAAGGTGCAATAAAAGTCTTCATCTTAGCATGATCGTATTTTAACAAATATAGTAAGAACTCTTTTTTTAATACAATTTTTAATCTGCACATTTCTGCAGAAATTCTGACATTGCGATAAAATCTGAATCTCAAAATTGATTTTTGAAACTATTTTCATTTACTTTATATCTTTTTCCATTTATAAACCAAAAGAAAAACAAACAAACATGTCAACAAAAAAAAAAAAAATTAACACTCAGGACAATCATAACATTATTATCCAATATTATCTGTGACGTCTCTTTCCGTTACAGTTTTGCCATCAAGATTAAGTGGAAATAATGCTACATTTGTACTGAAAAAAGATGAAGAAAAGCATTTCAGCATTTCGCTGCACCCATTAAGAAGGGATATCAAGTGAATAAGTCATTTCTCTCTGTAATACAGCAAATATGCCTTCAGTGACTCAGGCAGCGGTAAAGCCATTATTTGGTCTCTCAACACGTTCACTTGCTTGAGGATTTCAATGTCGCCAATGTCTCTGTCCTCCTCTTCCTCCACCTCTTTGTGTTCTTCCTCGGTGTGCTCCTCCTCTTCGCTCTCCACCATCCGCGGGATCAGCTGGTTGCCTACAAAAACGTAAGTGTTGATGCGTCGCCTGCGACAGCGCCTGCGTTTGCGCTTCTGGGGGACTCTCTGCGTCGTCCCCTTGCCCTGGCTGTCCTCGTTGGCCAGGTTTCGGAGAGTGCGGCGTATGTAGATCCGAGAGAGATCCTGAAGGCTGCGGACAGTCACTGGGGCTGAGGACAAAGAGAGATGACACGGTGCTTCAGGGCAGTGCGCCACACAAATAAGAATAATCCATACAGCCGCACCAGTCCTTCAACTAGGTCAGCATAAACGAGCGAGGACGTGAAAGAGAAAAGTGTCTCGGTATTTCAAGGAGAGGAATAACTGGGTCTAGGAAGCGGCCTCGGGGCGAGCTTCATATGTCAAAGCCAATATCGCTACAGGACTCGACACATCACGCGTTGAATTTAAAATATTGCCTGCTTTGCATTTCAAG